CATCTGAAATGACCATCATGATATTGTTTTCCGCAAGAGATACTCTGACTCCTTGAAAAAGAAAGGAGGTTTTGTTACACCACCGTTTGAAAGCACAATGCTTCCACTGTAGAATAATTGGGACAGTTTCAGTGGATTCCCAGCAATGTGTCATGGTAGCAAAAAAAAAACAAAGTGGCAGTTAACAACAAATCCCATCACAGGCAGCACAGAGAACATGAATCGATTGTCCATTTCAGGGATTCACTGCTTCTTACATTCAAACTGTCACAATATTTTTATTTTCCCCTTAGCTATAGGGCACAATTCCAAATGCCACTAAAGCATTTTTAGACACCAGCATTTCTACAATGCCCCTCGACTGTAAAACGGCTATTTTATTTCGGAATTAGAGCAGTGTAACTTTAATGCCCGACCGACGTTAGATTTATATCCCTTCTCAGCTCCAGTCATTGTGCTCAGTGAAACTAATCCACTCTGGCTTTCATTACAAAATGACAGAGTGCTACTAATTAATATTTGATAGCAAATTTATTCATATTTAATATTGTAATGTAATTAATAATAACATAATGAATATTTCAAGGTTAAGTTGTAGGCTCACATTTAATGAAGCGTTGGAGAATAATACTGAGCTTGCACGCTTATTTACATGGATGCATTATTGCTTAATTTGTGTTGAATGAAAAAATGCGCGATACCCAGGTGTCTTTTTTATGTATGTTTTTTCTTCAGAAAATTGCATTGTAATTTTTATTTATTCACTGAATATACTTAAAGTTGTTTCAAAATAATACATTTAATATGCACTTAGTATAGTATGATTTAAATATAGTAAGTATGTCTGAAAAAGCACAATTTAAATATATTTCTTTTTCACCTGGGTAATGATATGGGTTTAAACCCAAAATGGAGTCATGTCTTTATGTAGGCCAAATATGTGCTAGTAAATGTCCCTTTCATTTCCTCCCCTCCCCCTTAAATAAATATGTTCCAAAAGCATAGAATGAGCAGTTATTCTGGCTTTAAAGCTGAAATCAGCTTCACAGTACACTGGACATCAGCATAAAAGAGACATATGTCAAATCAACTGGTGTCTGCTTGAGCAAAACATAATTCCTTAATGTAAAAAGAAAATGTTTCCATAAAAGAAACAGGGAAACATTCACAGTCTGGCTCCATTTTCTTTTGTGAATAAACAATCAATGCCATTCTCTTCTATTCAAACTGACACTCCCAGTGATCTTGTTCTTTAGCTCGGATTGCTAAATATGAATCAAATATTATCCATTCTCCTTTTGCTACAAACACACATAATCCCATCAGAGATAAGAGCACATTATGGTAAGAAAGGGCATCACAAAGAAGTGCTATCAATTTGTGCAGAGTACATCTGCACTCAAAACAGAGGAATGATGTCCATTGTGATTAGGTGTCACAACACGCTCCAGCCAAAAGAAGGGGAGCAAAGCCATATGCAAGCTAGATTCTAATTTACATGTTGGAATAAAACTGAAAATGCTTTAAGTAAACACATCCAAATTACTCTTTGTTGGGCAAAGACTACAATTTGTTCTTTTCTGCCTCCTCACTGTTATGAGTGTTATATAAAAACATCATGCATCTAAATGGAATACAACTAGTACGTATATAGTAGGGGAATTTACCGTTAACCATTTAACAGGTTTTTACTGTAGCATTTTTACAGTCTTTTACCGTTAAATTCACTGTCATTTTTTACAGTGTACTTAGTTAGAAATCCCATGTACAATACACATATTGGGGATATATACCAGCAATGGATTTAGAGTTAAGTGAAAACGTACAGTGTGGTTATTTTGGCGGAAAGTCAAACACCATTCATGGATACATCATTTATTTGTGGTAAAAGCTAATAGATGTAAAACTCATGGCAAAATATTTGTGAGAATGTATCATACAAGAGACAGGGTTGCAGTGCCGTTTCTTAGTAAGGTTTTTACTGAATTGTCTAATTGCATAATATGTTTTATTCTAGCGGTTGTTTTGTATGTGGGTTTCAAGTAACCAACTCAAAACTCTCTTAGAACAGAAGATGAAAATATAATAGATCATTTTTGCTAATTTAATCCTCCAGACTAAAATTCACCACATTTTTACAATATATTTTGTGTAAACTAGTGAACAAAATAAAACCACAATGGCAAGAGTCAACAATATAATTAAAGTCAATAGCAACAAAAGGTTTCTTGATCTCAGGACAAGGATATGTTTTCCCCATGTGAGTTCAGAGCAAGTTGTCGTGAGTTTTAAATGTTCTAAATTTTGTGAATTATTTTTTGATGGCTAAATATATTACTTTTTGAATTTGTTATGACATCTTAACTGTTTTGTTTTTAATTTTGCTGTAAAGCCTAAGTTGTTATTAAGTTGTCTTATTTCCAAATAAAAATCAAATGAATGTTGTTATTTTAAACTTTCTGTCAAAGAATCCTGAAAAAAATGTGTGAAAAAAAATTCACAAAAATATTAAGCAGCACAACTATTTTCAGCATTAATAATAATAATAATAATAATAAGAAGAAGAAGAAGAAGAAGAAGAAGAATTTCTTGAGCAGCAAAATCAGCGTATTAGAATGATTTCTGGAGTATCATGTGACACTGAATAATGCAGTAATGACTGCTGAAAATTCAGCTCTGCCATCACTTGAATAAAATACATTTTAAAATATATTAATATAGAAAACACTTACTGTAATACAAGTTCACAATATTATCACTTTTACTGCAAACTTTTGAAAATTATTTGACAAATATAAAAAAAATCTTACCAATCTCAAACTTTTGAACAGTATCGCATTTGTCTAAACAGAAACCTACCCTTAGAAATACTCACTGGAGTAAAACGTGTGACAACTAGCCCTGGCCTCCCCTATAACTCCACAACCACCTAAAACAAGCTCAGTCTTGTTAAAGAAGCACGAGCTGTGCCGTGTTTCAGAACCAGGTGATGGCGAGTTGCGTTGCCAACCTAGTGAGTCAGACCACTGAGACCACCGAGACCACAAAGCCATGTGAAACCGTGAGACGACTGCTGTCATGTACCGTAGCTAACTCTTCTTATCCCTTCCTCAGTCACTCTCTCTCTCTCTCTGCTGTCTCTCTTAGCCCTGCCATGCCCACTTCTACACATATGCTAATCGTCTCCTCCGACTGGCAGCTGGTGCTCAAGGGGAGTTCGGGCACTGACAAGACAGGAGCCGGGTATATAATTAAACATCAGACCAGCACGTAATAAAAGCTAAAGGATGAAATGAGTGTAATCTCGGCCTGAGATTCCTAGATAATCAGCCCACAACCACATGCCTGGCAGAGATGACAGGAAAAGAAAAAAACATGCTTATTTGAATGACCCATTTGAATCACATACCTCCCACACTTTATTTGATTCATTTTTTAATTAGAGAGACAGAGTGAGGGAGGACTGCAGATCTTAGGTGATGGAGTGAGGCGGTGCAAAAGAGAGGGTGAGAGGGAGCGAGAGAGAGAAGCAGTGTTCAATCTCTTCCAACAGCATGGCTTCCTATCTCACTGCAACAAGGAACAAGGAAGCCGAGTACAGTCCATACCCCATACGTCCACCCATTCACCTCCACTCTCCATGCATTGTCCTCCTACAGACAATCATTCTGCTCCCCGGCACAAATACTTCATGATGTTAAATAAAGCACAACACATTAGAGAGCAGCAGAACAGCACATCACCGTCTGAGCGCTCCCAGCTGTCACCATCACGCACAGAGAGCCCTATAGCATTGTGAATGTGTCAGCCTAAAAACATTGTACTTCTTTGCCCTTCTACCTTGGAGATCATCACAGGGAGCTCATTTTTTGTGTTTATGCATTTCTGTTGATCAAAAGCTACGGCAGAATCCAACAAAGGCTGTTTAATTGCAGCTCTTGAAAAATTGATGCAGCTCTTAAGGACTTTTTTGTGTCACGCCGATATTGGGAAAACACAGGTGTAAGGCCACATGAGAGCACATATTTTATTCATATGCCCGAGTGACGGGAGGAGGCAAGCAGAAACAGTGGAAAATTCAAGGGAGAGGCCTTAATTAGGGGAAGTCGTGGCCTAATTGTTAGAGAGTCGGACTCGTAACCCAAAGGTTGTGGGTTCGAGTCTCGTACCGGCAGGGATTGTAGGTGGGGGGAGTGAATGTACAGCACTCTCTCCCACCTTCAATACCACGACTGAGGTGCCCTTGAGCAAGGCACCGAACCCCCAATTGCTCCCCGGGAGCCGCAGCAAAAATGGCTGCCCAGTATTTTTTTTATAAAAATATACAGATTTATTAAAATTAACCTCATAAAAAATGTATTGTTTAGGAAAGTTGTAATATACTATTTACTCTAAATAAGTAAGGAAGTTTAACCTTGTCTGTAGAAAAAATAAATAAAATAAGCATGAGGAATGAGCATGTCTTGTTGGCTATGGTAAAGTGCTAGCAGTTGGACAAGCATAGCGCCAGGTTGGGCTACCGAGGTTCACGCTTGCAGTGATCTGTGAACAAGCTGCTTTGGCCTGCTCATACTATAGTCCTCTCAGGACGCAGAGCTCTCTGCACAGGTCCAGTGCCAGGTCGTTCACCTATCCCGTAATTATCTCCATATCACCTCACCCCTCTGCATAAACACATATGCATGGGGCATATTGCACACTACACCTGTAAAATTCATTTTGAGTTTCCCTTCATACTATATTCGTTGCAGAACTTTCCCAGAGCCTGTGAAATACAACACCATGCATAAATTAGCATTCAGAGCTGTATTTTTCCTCGGCCTAATTGAACTGTTAAAGATGGAAACAGTGTGAGAGTCAGCGATGCCAACCTTGCCCTCTTCTTCACGGCAATTATTGCTCCTTCACAAAATGTCAAACGAAAAGGCATTGAGGTAGCAGAATGAATGTTTACACATGATAAGTAAGCTTAATATTCAGCCGACAATTAGACTACTCACCCTGCCAACCAGAATTGGATCGGGTCCAGAGAACTCCTCCAACACAAACATTTGATTCCAAACCCATCCTCTCTTGGCACGACTGAGGATTCTTTGTCCTTCGCTTGGCCGGTTTCGCGGGATCATGGCTGATGCCGTTTGTAAACTTTGTGACTGATTGTTTAACGGAGCCATGGAAGAGTACGGCACACAAGTAATCCATACGAGCAGGAGAGAAGTCCATAGATCTCGCTGCATCTCCTCTCCACGTTTGAGCACTTTGGATGGGATAAATGCAGAGCACTAATTCCGAGTATGGGTCACCATACTTGGCCACATGCCACATGTCACTTATCACTTATATATTAGTGGAGGCCCTGCCAAATTTTGGATGCACAAAGGATGGCATTTTCCATCTCACTGATGGTGAGGATATTGCTCAGTCAGTGCAGTGAAGCTAAAATTACTTTACAGTATTCGTTGCAGAACTTTCCCAGAGCCTGTGAAATACAACACCATGCATAAATTAGCATTCAGAGCTGTATTTTTCCTCGGCCTAATTGAACTGTTAAAGATGGAAACAGTGCGAGTGTCAGCGATGCCAACCTTGCCCTCTTCTTCACGGCAATTATTGCTCCTTCACAAAATGTCAAACGAAAAGGCATTGAGGCAGCAGAATTAATGTTTCCACATGATAAGTAAGCTTAATATTCAGCCGACAATTAGACTACTCACCCTGCCAACCAGAATTGGATCGGGTCCAGAGAACTCCTCCAACACAAACATTTGATTCCAAACCCATCCTCTCTTGGCACGACTGAGGATTCTTTGTCCTTCGCTTGGCCGGTTTCGCGGGATCGTGGCTGATGCCGTTTGTAAACTTTGTGACTGATTGTTTAACGGAGCCATGGAAGAGTACGGCACACAAGTAATCCATACGAGCAGGAGAGAAGTCCATAGATCTCGCTGCATCTCCTCTCCTCGTTTGAGCATCTTTGTAATATTTTCTCTTTGCCTGTTTTTTTTTTTTGCTTCCCCTCCAAAAGTTAGGGGTAGACCAGCTGACGGACAGCTGAATGGTTACTCTTTTGTTCTACGTATCCCCCAGCTCGAGTTCATGTTGCGAGGAGGGTCACGGATGTACTCTGATCTGTCTCCAGAATGCAGAGAAAGGAGACACACGGCGATATGTGACATCCATTAGTTGGTTCATCAATGTAAGAGATCTAGAGGGGAGAGATAAATGCAGACTTACTAGAAGTGCATGTAAATATACTGATAAGCTTGAGGAGTGAAGTCTCAAGGTCAGGTGGATATCACATCAGAAAACAAGTCAGAGCACATCTGTCTTCTGCAAGAGTATATAGTACATCACAGAAAAATATGTTTTTACTCTCTATAGCAACTGGAAAATATTTAAGATCTATACAATCAAGCCAACTACGTTTCAGATTACAATGTTTGTTGTGCCCACATTCCTTGCAAACACCGATACTTATGAGAATCAATATTCTTAAGAAAAAAAAAAACTTTTTTGAAATGTTACTATCAAGAACTAAAAAAGGACACGGTCATAAGTGATGACATACAGCAATTTTGAGGACCAAAAAAGGGAATAAAACACTATTTTCTACGTATTACTGCAGCATAGACTATAAATGCAGTAAACCTGAAAATCACAGAGTAGAGAAGAACAGCATGTTCATGAGCTGATTTCATTTCCCTGAACCAACTGCTTTCAATGTCCTTGACATATTACAATATTACGGTATAATTTAGAGTTTGCAGAATGATTAAAATACATATATTTAGGATTTGTATATTCTAAAATATAAGCTTGACCTATTATAAATCACTCTGCAAAGCTAAAAGAGACCATTGTTTATTTATTATTATTTTTTAATTTTTTGCAATTTGTCCATGTACTTGATTGCAATTCAAATACAAGCAGCAAGGTCAGTTTTTTTTTTTTTTTTTTTCTTTCTGGTTGACCATACAACAATCATAAGCTGCATTTCACTAAATCTGAATATTTACCAAAATGGTTTCTGCATTCTCTGGAGAACTCAGTTATCTATTATTTCATATGTTTACAGGCATCAAAAAGCAGCAGAAAGGTGGTGAAGAGGAATTCAGACTTTTCGTCTTTTAATGCAGCACACAACAGACCAGTATATATTTATTTTCAGAAAAAGTTGTGCATAAAATGTATTTAATTACCCTGTAGATTAGTAAGCAAGCCACACAGTGGAAACATTCACATCTTAGTCTTCGTTCCGTAGTGTAACTTTAGAGAGCAGTAAACCTTTATTGCACTATAATACCATAAACAGACTCGGCAAGCAAAGTCGATGCTTGAATCACTAGCGAATTTCAGCACCAGCATACGTGGACAGCTCCTCACAAAAAGTCTCTTACTTATTCACGCTCGCTTTCTGGCTCTTTAGAAAGAGTAAGAAACGCAAGGTTTTGATACTTAAAAGCAGGCACGGATACTCTGGAAGCAATATAGAGCACGGAAAAACATGGCACAGCGAGTTGATCAAGTTGATTAACCAAGACGTTCACAGACCACGTTCTTGTGTAAACTGAACACAGATAGTCGACGCACGACATTCCTGGACGATATGCAAAACAAAGAAAGTACAACGCGTATGGTTTGATCTGCAGGCTGTCAATCTGTCTCGCTCTCGGATAAATCCTGTAGCGCAAACAGCATACATCCAGTATTTCAGTCGAGCAAAAATGCATGCGACTCCAACCAAACGACCATTAATTACTGTGTAAAACCCTCCTGCGCCTGTTAATGAGTCTTTAGTACTTACTGTATCTCATCCGGACGTCCGTTCCATGTCACCCACGGGAGATAACAAATATCAGAGAAGGAAGAAAAAAAGACCTGACTTGTTTCGCAAAACAGCTGGCACTTGTCTTTCTGTCAATTTCCTGTCAATTGAATATGGACAAGAACAAAATAAGGAGAATAAGTTGACAGATGCGGTTGGGAACAATTAGGATCTGTACAGTTTAGTGGCTTGGCGTTGACAGGGTGTCGGTGAGCTCCGGCATGCCCGCTCGCTGAGTGGAGGAGTGAGGAGAGATGGACGAGAGGTGTTTGGTGGGAAGAGCCTCCCCTCTGCCGCGCTCATTGGGCTGATAAAGAGGCAGGTCCTCAGCCCTGGCAATGAATGCCCGCGCCCTACCCTGGGAATAGTGAACTTTTATGTCAGTGCTTGGTGTTTTTCAACGCACCTCCAATATTTCTCCATTTTTATTTTATTTTTTTCCTGCTAACAAAGCATCCATACGTGAGTCCCGTCTTGGCACTTCTGCGACGTGATTTGAATGCAACGGGATTTTACATGACTAGGACGCAAAGCCTCTGTGCAAGTATCTCAGCGGCACTTGCTTTTTGGCCAGGTGTGAAAGTTAGGGTGAATTCGGGTAAATTGGGACACTTTTGCCTTGTGAGACTGGAGAAGAAAAAAAAAACAATTAACCTGAATTAACCTCTATACAATTTACATTTATACGTAAATGTAAATATATAAATATAAATAATAATAATAATACAATAATTATATGCAAATAATTAGGGGCAAATTAAAGGTTACTTTATGTATGCTATATCGATTAATGGCATGCAAATTCATAATAAATGTATACATAATGACCATAATACACAAATGTGTTGCTTAATCGACGTCGCCCCCCCCCCAAAAAAAAAGCACGTACGCGCTGTTGTTATGGTTACCTCAAGCCAGCACAACAACGATCATTAGGTCTTATATTAACTTGTAATCTAACTTTTCTCTAACTTTATTACTGAAATGTTTGAAAACGCGGCTGAAACATATGTACATCTGCATGAAAAGAACAGACATATATGCTTATGATTTCAGTATTAGAGCTGGTCTGAGAGACTCAATTTGGCGACGAGGGATACAATTCAAAGCTTTTAGCTGTGCTAACTGTACAGCTAAATGTTCTGGTCACGCTGGATAAATAAACAATTTTAGTAGCCTATCTTCAAACGACCTTGAACTGATGCTGTGAACTGCTCCAATGTTCAATTTCAACTCCGACTTAAATTCAAAGTATCATTTGCAAACATTCAGCCCATTTACTCTAATTTTCAATGAGGAAATGCATTGAAATAAACCCACCAGCTTTTCAGCATTCACTAGTGCACATGAGATTTATCTTGACACGTTTCTTGTCCACATGCATTGAAGACTCTTAAGGTAGAGATACAGAAAAGCTCCGACTCCACTGGCTCCCTCTAGCGGCCAGACATCAAGCAGACATCAGGAGTTTTCTGGACTGTGGTCAGTTAAACCTTTGGGATTAAACCTTGCAGATACAGAAGTTTAATAAATCATTAGCCCCACTGCAACGATATTGAGACCTCTGTATTAAAAATAATATCAATAATAAGTGAATATACAACGCAAGCTAGTCACAGTATAGCCTTCTCAGATACAGTACAGTAGTTAAAACAAGATATTGATCAAAATGTTGATCAAAAATTCAAATGTTAATTTATAAAGATGATGGTGATTATAACGCTTATCCACAATTTTAAGGCTTAAAAAGAGCTGTTTTCATTTTTCTTTCATTTCTTTTTTTTTATCCTCACCCACATGAAAAATCAAGTCATGTGGGCACAATAAATTCACAATTATGAATCGCAGTCCTAACAATGTCATTTATATCCCTGATTTTTGTTTACTGATATTATATGTATAATTTACTCTTGTGGTTGCCACCTCAGAAAGTGATCATAGATATAAACCTGCTCACGTTTTGCATCCTGCCCAACATCCTCTTTAACTCTATTTTGGTTCGGCTGTGCAGTTTGTCAAGCTGCTCTCCAGTGGTTCTTTCTCTCTGTCATTGATTAATTCCACTGACAGAGCCTTTACCGGTGATCAAAATATCAGACGTCTTCTGAAAAAGGCAAAGCAAGTGAAGGGGAAACAGTCTTTACAGCCCAAGCTTCTTCAATCGATCATTGGTTACTACATTGTCAGTGGAATTAATCACAGGCCTGGTGCGCTGTGAACTGCTGGCACCCTTCTTCACACACCTCAGCCCTGTCATTTGCAAATGGCGACAACAGCCTCGACAAACAAACAGGAAACAAGCCGTGATTTATTCATTTGTCTCTGCATTTACATCAAATCATTTAGAGAGGCAATTACTTGGGGATTTTCCCAGCTGTTTCACATAGATGTAAGGCTATGTCTAAAACAATTGTCTTTCTTATTGAAGACGTGTGTCTGCGATGAATTCTAATCTCTTGTGACTCATAATTCATAGTGTTGTCATGTCTCAGTATTATTGTATATGTGCACTCATACTTCTTCCAAAATTGCACATTTGTGGCCACAATGGCCTGCAATGCATAGCATTCTTCCAAGATGCCAAAAATGCATTTCAGTGCATAAATGTGCAGAAAATCTTTGACCTAATTTGGTGATTGTGGTCAAAAATGTTCGGCCTTTTAAAAATTGCTTTTAAAATCTCTTATTATGCTATATAATCACCAAATCTAGGATTCAGTCTTTTTGTCAACTTGTTTTTTATTTTTTTTATTTTTGGTAAGTTAGTATACCCTGTGTAAGCAAGTTTTAGTCAGAAAAAAAAAAAATACACATTCTGTATAGCGTGGAAATGCATATTTAATACGCATGTTATGTCCGAGAACTGTCTGATGCCCATGTTTAAGCATGTGCAACATTTAATGACAGCACATCAGTAAATGTTCAGTTGTGCAACTCTCGGGTTTTACACAGTCATGAACCAGCTCTGGTGGTTGAGCATCACTGTTGGACTCTCCATTCAAAACACAATCCAACAAGACAAGAAGATAATGGACTGTGTGTTTATCGATTTCACCTCAACCAAAGCAAGGAAGAGACACTATTCTTTAAAGAACAGTCTCAACTGTATAATAACAGCTTCAGGTGGATGACTCTGCATTCCTGCAAAGTGAGTGTTCATTCAGTGTAATAGAATCTCTGCGACACAATTAACAAATAAAGTTATGCCGTCTGAACCTAAAGCAACCTCTTTCCTTCTCCATCCTAACTTCTGTAGGGGATGAGTAAAACTAGATTTGCATTTCCTGAAGGAAATCAGCAAAAAGCACAAAGCAGCGAAAGATTAGTCTTCCAGTTTAAGGTAAGATTAGATTTCATTGGCTTTGGTTCTGTGAAAATGATTTTATGTAAACAAATTGCTGTATCAGAGCTGCTTTGTCGTTGTCATGATACTAAGCAGATGTCTTGTTTTCAGTCAGTTGTGCACAAGAATCAACACTGTATCTTTGCAGTGTAAAGGCGGGATTTAGTTAATTTTAAGCAAGGAAGGCAAGACCAATCATAATTCAATATGCAAATATTACAGAGATTTCATCGCTGTCAGTTTAGGCACGGCCACATTTGACTTAAAACATGCAAAATGAATCATTATGACAATCTGTGATTTTGGTCAAATGTCTTTTAGCCATGAAAAAAACATAGGTCAGACATACAACACACACAAAAAATGTCTTCGCATGTGATTAGATTTTTGATCTTCCATGTTCAAATGCCTATACAGAATGACGATTCAAGTATGACCACACCTTACAGTTTTAATGCTAAACATGCTATAAAAGTTTTACGTTAATAGGTAGTTTTGACTCTTACCCAATCATCTTTCCTTACCTTTTTATAGAGTTTACAAACACAAACATAGATAGCGCAATAGGCTGAAATGATCTACAAAACACAATTTTAAATGGAGTCGGTATGTTGAGCAATTTGTGCTCAACACCACGTCGGAGAAATATTGTATTGCAAGGTGCACTGCAAGCATTGCAAGCACTGTAAGCACTTCTTATGTCATAAAAGTCCCACAATATGTTGACTGTTCACATCTCCATGTTATTTTGGAAAATGTGGTCATACAGCCATCTCCAACCACTCATAACAGCTGCTCACCAGAATTCCAAAGGTCACTCACTAATCTAGCAAACAAATTAAATAGTCAAAGTTCACTCCAAATGCATAAATAATGATTTACAAATTTATGACAAGACTTCCCACATCATTCCCCCATCTTTCTGTGCCGGCACACATAAACACACACAAGCACACTTCCATTCATGTCCTCAGGGGCCTGCGATGTGTAAACAGTTTCCAGCATAGGTTTAGTGCCATGATTAGCATATTAACACTCCTAAAAGTCAAATTTTAATTGGTAGCGAATTAAAGTTAATTGGTTTTTATGTTGATGATTTTAAAGCTCTGCAGATAATTAAGTGCAGTGTTCAGAATTTTGATACGTTGACATTTTGAGAATGAACAACCTGGAAACTAAATGAACAACGTTAACACAACTAAGATCTTAATCATGCAAATTGAAAAATACAGCAGATTTGATTATCATGGGTTTCATATTGGCCACCTATTAATTACACTTAACTTATTTATATATTTACATCCACTTACATTTACTGAGCGTATGTCCCAATTGCAGTAATTATTGTCCTTCAATAATTCCTAGACTCAAAGGCACATAAATGGAGCCATGTCAGGTACAAGCGTACAGTTTACACATGCTAATATCCTGGCAGTGAACAGTGAAAGAAGGTATGATATGAATGGAATTAGTGTGAGCATCTGGTGGGCTACAATCCTCACTCATACTTAGCTGAGAGCCAAGAACTCATTCTTTGGCACCGAGATTCATAAACTGCCATGCGGCTGAATGAAGCACTCCTCGGGGCAAAGCTGCTCCGTCTACCTGTCTTAATAAGTTGTACAAGATGATTAGAATAGGATACAGTAGAAGACCTCCCATCACGAGAGGAAGCAACTGGACATGAAAAACCGTTTAACGAGATCCATTCTGAGCTGGCCTTCTAAAAGTAGACGCTGATGGTTGCCATAAATAAAAGAGGTGGAGTGATAATAGCGCAAGTTACCTTTAATAGCGCTCATTAAGACTGACACCTTCTCCATTTGGGAGGAGATGAGAGGAGGCTCATTATGATCACTCAGCATGCACAACTTAGAGTAAAAAAAAG